CACAATGCAAAGCTCCTAGTGCTTTCTGATTCATGCCAGGGTTTATCACTTCTCCAGGTACGTGAATGAAAGTTAACATCTAACAATTGAACATCGCAGGGCTCCAGCGTCTTTGTTAAAGCTTTTGGGTGAAAATCCTTTGCTCAACATGTTTTTCTCTTCCTTATAGGTTATGATAAAAACAATGAAAAACTGTATGGCTTCATAGCAGATGTGCCCTTTTGCAAATGTTAGCAGAAAACAAAACCAAACGAGAAACTGTTATGCTTCTTGCAGAGAAACAATAGGATTGAGAGAACGTTTTACTACATGAAGAAAAATACTAAGAGATAAAATTAAGACCGAGTCAACAACTTTTCACTACATGAACCATTTATAACTCTTTAGGCCAGTCTAGTTTGTCCTGGCCACCCAGGATGTGGCCTTCTCCCAGCATCTGTTGGTACATTCGAGAAATGCAAAGTTAATTTTAATACTGTTTGCCTATGAATAATAAGTAGAAAATGTACGGCCCAAAGACTGTTCCAAGGTTACTGAGGGATATCACCCTCATTATTTTTTTTTCATTTTTTTTTCACCTTCATTATTAAGAACTTCCCCAGCTCTGCTCAGACGATACAGTTGACACTGTTTTCTATGCAGAAGAAAAAGAGATCTTGAAATGTGGATCTGCACGTTACCTGGCTGTGGTTACAACTTCCCGACAATCAGTTTTGAAAAAAGCTGTGATATCACCAAGGCAGGGACAAAGAGAAATACTGTTTCAAACATCTGTCTAAATACTTTTTAAGTGATAAAGATGACAAGTGTTTCATTTAATCCACTAAAAATAAATGTCTCAACAATATCTATTTAAAACAGTGTCACAGATGCTAAAAACAGTATCTAATATTGTGTCTATTCAGCAAGATCTAGAACAACAAGAGGAACCACACCTCATTTGGTGCAGGTCCTCAGAATGCCTTGATTCTATTTAAGAGACATGGTTCACTACCAGTGCAGCATGGCAGCTCAAACATACAACGTGTAGTATAGATGTAAGTGTGGGAAAGATTCACAGGTCAGTTGGGAGAAGAGAAAGGGCAGAAAGCCTGAAATTCCAGTCCCAAAAGTGCTCCAGGTTTCTAGTCCGGGAGATAAATTACCATTTGATTGTATTTATCGGTGCACCTAGAATCTCTACTCACTTTTTTCCTACGAGAAAAAGTTAAAGACTTGTTACCAAGATTAGGACCACAAACTGAATTTTAAGATTATGCAATATCATAAGTGTTTTTCTTTTCTTAACCTCAACCCCCACAGACGCAAACTAGATTTATGGCAGAAATGCCTGAGAAAGTTCAACCAGTGGGCACAGAACCACTACCGCTGCTATACCGCTCGAGGAAAAATCCTGTATATTTGGAGTCATCTTAACCCTTAGCTCAAGCCATGTCCCTTCAATTTGCTCTGGTGATTCCGTGCAGGGCACAGGAAAGAAAAACCACAGTCCTTAAATTGCTATAATTACATTTCTATTCTTATTAAGCAGAACGGTTTCTGTGAACCCACTTGCCTATCCTGCTCCAGAGGTCACAAATAACATTTTCAAACGATGTTCAAAATGAATGTAGATACTCTTGATGTGAAGATCTCAGTTCCCAGCAACTCAGAGAACTTTGCTTATCAGCTCTAGATAAAACCATTCCACCCCCAGGCTCCGGGGAGCTTTTCTTACTCCACTTCACTCAAAACCACTCCCAGATTTTGGATTTGGCCTCTGTAGTCTTACACTCAATGGTGTTTCGTTATTTTTGAAGCTGATGTGCTCGCACTGTTCTCCCATTCTTGCGCCTTGGTTTTCTTAACTGTTTTTAATGTTCTCAAAAACACGTTTGTTCTACAGAGTCTAGGAGTTATCTGTAAAAAGCCTTCCAGGTTTTGTCATAAAAGCAGAGCCTGGCGAAGTCATAACCTTTCTGACCCCTCCGTTTTCTCAAGAGAATCAAACTGGATTATCTGAGCTCCTCTGGCTCTGCAACTCACAAAATGCTTGCTGAAAATGCTGCTGTGGTTGCCGATCACCTTCAAATTCCAGCTCAAAACCCCCTTTGGAAAGCATTCTCTAACTAATCCCTACAGACTCCCCTGCTCGGGGAGCCTTGCAATTTAGGAATTCAGTGGATATGGACGGAATTTTCAGCAGGCTGGCATACCGTCGGTCAGGAAGGAAAACACCTGATGTGAAAAGGCAGCACGATGGAATGAAGAGAGCATCCAGCCTCAAACTGTAAAGGGCTACTCAAACGAAAGGCGATAGTGTTAATTCTTATAAACAGGACGCATACCAAAGGGAGTGCTGGAAAAATCCCTAGCAGGAAGCAAAGCTAACTTTCAAAGGGCTCTTCAGGGCCCTGGGCTCTCCCTCTCACCGCTCGATGCACCCCTGGACCACGGGAAGGGGTAACATTTTGTGACCACGCGTGTTTCGAATACCTGCTACTCACAGGCCGGGAGCTACAACGTCCCCAAAGCCTTCGCCCACACTGCGCTCAGACGCCTGCATCCCCGACCGGGGCTGAGACCCCAGGAGGCAAGGGCTCCGCGGGCCTTCCCACCTGGGCCAGGAGCAAGCGCAAGGCCCCACCCTCGCCCGCTTCTCGGCGAGTGCACCGGGCAGCCCCGCACGCCCCGCCGCTGCAGCCAGCGGGCAGCCCCCGCCGGCAGCCCCCGCCCCCGCCCCCGCCGGCCCCGGGCCCGCGCACCTTGCTCTTCACCTCCATGGTGCCCAGGCAGCCGCTGCCCGCCCCGTGCCGGTGGCTGCGGTTCATGCTGAGGCCGGGCCCCGCGGCGGCCTCCTGCGGCCGGGCCGCCCCTCGGGAGCGCAGGGAGTCGCGGCCGGCGGGCCGGGGCCGGGGACGCGGCTGCGGCCCGGGCGCCTCCGCACCGGCACCTGCAGAGCGGCGGCCGCGACTCGGCTTCTCGGCGCGGAGCTCCGCTCGGCTGGCTGCTCGCGGCGGGACCGAGGGTCCGACTGGCTGCGCGGCGGGCGGGGACGCGACTCCCTCCCTCCGGGCCTCGGCGGCGGCCGCGACGGCGAAGGGGGCGGAGCAGAGGCGACGGGCGCCGCGAGCTCGCTCCCGGCCGCCTCCCCCGCCGGCCCGCGCGCGCGCACCCGAGCCCGGGAGGGAGCCGCGGCGCGCGCGCGCTCACCTGCAGCCTCGGCAGCAGCCTCGGCGGCTCGCGCTCCGCCCACACCCAATAGGAAGCGCGCACCTGCGCCCGCGCCGCCAGCCAATCGAAACCCGCCTCGCGAAGCGTGTGGGCGGGCCGCCTTCGCGAAGATCCCGCCTACCGCCTCGCGATTGGTCCCGCGCCGCGAGGGAGGGGCGGGATCACCTGAAGCCTTGGGCCCCGCTCCCCGGACCTAGCAGGAGAGCTGGAAGGCGCATGCGCGGGCTCTGGCGTTTCCGCCTCGGGAAGGCCGGCCGGAAGCGCGAGCGCACCTGGAGAGGCGCTGGGGCGGGTGCGTTTTGCGCAAGCGCAGGCGCGCGCCTGCGGGCCGGGTCGGGCGAGGGCGCGCCGGGCTGGGGGTGGGACCGCGCTGCCCCGCGAGGCCCTGGGGCGCGGGGGGCGGCTGGCTTCGCGCCCGCCCCCGCCGCAGTCCGCTTTGGGGTGCTGCTGCAGCTTGCAGAGGCTGCAGCTTGCAGAGCTGGGCGCTTCAGGAGTCCGTCTGCAACTCTGGCTACAAAATAAAAGTTTTCCCGCCTCTGCAACAGTTACCAGGGCAGAGCATCGGGGCTCCGCGGGCTCGGTTTCGTCCGTGGGTCCCAGGGGGTCGAGAGGGCGCCGCGAGGCAGGGGAAGTGGGCGGAGGCCCAGGATGGATGGCCCCGCGCAGGACTTCGGGATCGGCCTTCAGGGCTTGCGTTAGGCTCTGCTCGTGAAGTCTTCTCCCTCCTCCAGCCGTTTCTTCGCCGTTGGCTGTTTCCACCAACGGCAGCCTCTGGATAATGTTCTTTTCTCCGTGGGGCGACAGAACTCCGTCCTTGATAAAAGACAACCCTCTGTTTTAAATGCCCCAGAGCCCGGTTTCTCCTCGCAGGGAGGCTGTTTAAAACAGTATTGGCCGCGCCAGGGAAGTGAGGAGGAGACCCTCCAGTGCCCCCACCCCCCTGCAGAGGGGCCGGCCTGACCTGGGGGTGCTGGCGTGTGTGGAGGTGGGGGGCGGTTCATTCCACCGCAGTGCAGTCCTCGGGGCCTTGCGCTCATCTGCCTACTCCAAATCCCTCCTGACTCCTCGTACATCCTTCCCAGCATGTGGGTGACAAGCTTCAGTTTTTTCATGTTCTTGGACTCCTCTGCCTCTGCCCTAGAATGAAAGCGCCGAGGAGTCAGGACCACATCATCTCGCTGTTGAGCAGGTGGCATGGTACCTGACTCCGGGCAGGTACTCGGATAATGGCTTTGCTGGGCGCTGGTGCCCAGGGAGTGTGGTTTCTCCGTGCTAACTTTGCCCCACCTGGGCTCAAAGGTGAGAAGCCCATCTTTCCCCCTGGGGCTTTTCAGTTCACCAAGTGTTTATGGGGGAATTTCAGGTCTTTCCTGGCCATTTTGAGTGGAAGTACAGATGAAAAGGATTCCATCTCGGGCAGCCTGGGTGGCTCAGCGGTTTAAGCGCCTGCCTTCGGCCCAGGGCATGATCCTGGAGTCCCAGGATCGAGTCCCACATCACACTCCCTGCATGGAGACTGCTTCTCCCTCTGCCTGGGTCTCTGCCTCTCTCTATCACGAATAAATAAATAAAATCTTAAAAAAAAAAAAAAAAGGATTCCATCTCAAACTGAATAAGGCTGTGGCCTTCCACCCCCTGTTCAAAAGCACCTGCTGTTATGTGACTCAAGCTGTGCTGGACACAAAGTGTGGTGTTGTGATGGGGCAGCTTCACAGTTTGATCTCCAGACCCCTTAATACCCTTAAAGATTATGGAGGGCCCCTGAGTATTGTTTGTGTATGCTATGTCTTTTTAATATTCATTATATGAGAATTAAAACTGAGGATGCTGAAACACAAGAACACACAAACACACAGTCCAGGAGTCATCAGGGTGATATCATCACATATGTCCTTTCTGGAAACCACCACTGGATACCTGTGAGACAATGGGGATGAGAAAAACAAGTGACATGTTCAGTATTAGGAAAATAGTTTTAGCTTTGAGAATCCCCTAAAAAAGGGATGCTTGGGTGGCTCAGTGGTTGAGCATCTGCCTTTGGTCGTGATCCCGGGGTCCCGGAATCGAGTCCCGCATCATGTTCCCTGCGGGGAGCCTGTTTCTTCCTCTGCCTGTGTCTCTAGCTCTCTCTGTGTCTCTCATGAATAAATAAAAGTCTTTAAAAAATATATTAAAAAAGAGAATCCCCTAAAAAGATCTCAGGGCCCCCACTTTAAGGACCGCTGAGTAGAAAACTTGTCACAGCCTTTAGGAACCTTTATTCTCAGCTGTCACTCTCCCCTTCCCAGTTGCCAGGGCCCCAGTTCAACATAAGCCACTGACTGCCGGGTGGTTGAGCTTTATTACTGTTATCCATACTGATTTATCAGGCCCTTTTCAAAAGGAAGTTCATGGATGCCAACACACCTGCGTGGGCCCTGCATTCCTGGAGGTGTTGTCATGTCCTCTCTCCCCTCCTCCGGGTGTGGTATCCCTCTTGGACTTTCTTTTCTAGACGGGAGGGACAGGCCAGAGCTTCCTGGATCTCCTGAGTGGAATTTGCTCTGAGGCTTGCGTCACAGGTGCGCCCGAGCTGTGTAAGGAAGAAATGTGGAAAACAGTTTGAATTTGATAAAGGTGTTGTGGAGGAGGGGAACCCTTTCATTCTGGGAGGTGTTGTGGCCACAAGTTTGTTGGCAGGGCCTGAATTTCAGACTTCCTTGAGAAGCACGGAGCCCAGAGACACAACACAGAGGAGGTCTTATATTTCTGTTTCTTTAGTTCCCAGGCTGAACCCTAATCTCATTTCTCTCTGTCACCCCTCCCCACCCCCAAATCCTCAGGCCAAAGCTGATCAAGGCCTTAGTGTGGAATGAAAAGCTACTCTCATGCTTGGGAGAATTAGTACCCAGTGAGTTCGTGAGATAAGTAAGGTGAGTATGACACGGGCTTGATAAATTATAGGTTCTCAAAATCATTAGTTGGGAATGGGCTACCCCTGATTATCACACCCACACACCGTCAGGTCCTTCCAGCCTGTCTCCGTCCTCGTCCTCTGAAAAAGCCAGTGGGGGTTACATTTGTGCTGTATCCTCCTCTATACTTTCTGTCTTTAAGTTCTACAACTTAACACGACTTTTGTGTTCGTTTGGAATCGATCTTGTGAAGTGGAAAGAGTCTAATTTTTCACATTGTTTTATTGATTCATGTCTTATCCAATAATACTTTTCTTTCCTTCCTCCTCTAACGCATAGAAAAGAAAGAAAAAAAAAAAAGCTAGAGGTGCCAAGAAGTCATATATACTGGTGGCGAGATTTTATTCAAGACATTTCTCTTGCCAGCTCTTTTTTCTCCTTGATTGCTCAAGTTCCAGTTTTGATGGAGCTGGTTAATAATTCTTTGAGAAAGAGCTGAAGTGTGTATTTATGAATCTCAGACTACTCACCAAAGCATTTTTAAGCCCTTTAGCAGAGGTGGAATTAAGTCATATGACTGGTTTTCTGGTTAATAGCTTATAACACTTTGGTACTTTGTGTGGGGGTGAGGTGGAGGTGCTCAAAGCTCAGGAAACTCATGAATTACCTCCTGTAGCCTTTAAGAAGCTAGATGCCCTTTCAGGTAAAAGCCCATCTTCGTGGGAGGCGATATGTGCCAGGCACAGTGCATGAGCCCTGCCCTCGATAAGTGTGCCCTCTGACCTCTTCCCACTCGAGGACTCAATTTCTCCATCTGTGAATGCAGCCACTGGATGAGCTCATCTCCACAATCTCTTCCAGCTCTTAACATTCTATGGTTCCCCAGGGATAATGGAGATTGATCATTATTTCAACATTACGAGGGATGAACTAGAATGAAAAGGGTAATCTTTCCATCATGTTCAACAGACAGGCTGCAGTCATCAGCTAAAATATTCCAGTTCCTGGAGGTGTTGATGAAGATGATGATACTTAACAAATATGAGGGTCCTACCTGGCTCCATGAGCTGTGGCAAGGGCTTTCTTGTGGATTATTTTATTTACTTTTAAGTGACATGAAAGAGACTTAGTTTGGAAACACTCATCTTAATTTTTTTTAAGAGTTTATTTATTTGAGAGAGAGAGATAGAGAACATGAGTAGGGGGCAGGGGAAAGGGAGAAGCAGGCTCTCCACCTCGCAGAGTGCCTCATGTGGGGCCTGATCCCAGGACCCTGGGATCATGACCTGAGCTGAAGGCAGATGCTTAACCAATTGACCAGCCTAGGCTCCCTAAGATCTCAATTTTTTGTCAAGTGACAGATGTTAACTTGAGCCCTTGCTCTGCTCCTCACTGGCTGGATGACCTTGACCTTGTTCCTTTACCCACTCAGAACCTCAGATTCCTCTTTCATGAGAGGAGACATAAGTGGTCACCTCATCACATTGTTGCAGGGATCAGATGAGAAACTACATGAAGCTGCACTGCCAACCATCAAATGCAATATGCATACTAGTGGTTATTATTTAGCAAGTAATATTGCCTACCAAAGCCTTTGGCAGAATTTCAAGAAATCCCTTGAAAGAAAACAGAAATGTGTAATAAACCATTCTTGTTTCCACACAGGGTGGCCTTTTAATGGACATCTCTTAGCTGAGATGCAGCCCATAGCAGTTAAGAATGTGACTCTCAGGTGCCTACGTTCAAATCCTGCCTCTGCTATTTCCTGGCTGTGTGACTTCGGGCGAGCTCTTAACTTCTCTGAGGTTCCATTTCATCATCTGTAAAATGAGGACAGTAAGAGAGTTAATCGTCCTCCTTCATGTACAGAGCATTTAAAAGGTCCTAGTGCAGAGTAAGGACTTTGTAAATGTGAGCTATTATTGTCATTATGGCTAATTATTTTTATTACCTATTGCCATAACAGAATTCGTTAATAAGTATCTAAAGCCTCAACTATGTATGTAACACTGTTTTTCGCATGGAGACAGAGGGTAAAAAGTGAAGATACCATGTCTACTTCAGTTTACACTGTAGATAGGTTCGGCAAATATCCATGAGCACCTACTGTGGCTCACAGAGGGAAACGCAAATCTAAATACAATAGAGTCCTTGCTTCCAAGGAACCCAGGGCTAGCTGAGAAATCAGTCAGGGAGAGACGTCTTCAGGAAGTGGTGGCCACTAAAGTTAAGGGTGGTGGTGGGATCTCTGGGACAATCCAGAGATCACATTTGACTCTACTACCACCACCTGTGGGATACATCTTAAGAGTAATAATAGCTAGTCTCTTTGAGTTAATAAGTATTTATTGTCTATTATGTGCCAGGTGCAATTCTAGATGGTGAAGAGGACATGACAAAAATCCCTGCCCTTCCGGAACAGACATTCCACCAGGTAGAGACAATACACAAGAGAATTAATCAAAATGTATATAGTGTGCTAGTGACAGAAGTCCTGGAGAAAAATAAAGCAGGGAGGGGAGATGGGGAGGCCTGATGGGGGGAGGCAAGATGCGGAAGGAGAAAGAAAATTCAACATAAGTTGGCAGAGGCAGGCTCTCAGGGAAGCTGGAGGTGAGACAGAGATCCTCCTGTGTCTCTGTGTGTTGGGTGGGTTGTAGGGGATCCTGAGCGGGGAGGGAAGGCTTCCTTCCAGGCAGGGGCTCAGCGTGAGTGTGAGGATTAAAGGCGATAAAGCTCACTCTGTGCCTGGCACACAGCAAGTACTCAGAAGACACCAGCTGCTATTTTGAGCCATTACTCAGTGCTGAGGCCATGGTATGAAAGGGGGGGGGGGAGGTGGGAGCAGAAAAGAGAGAATGACTAAGTCAGCCTGGAGGGGGGGTCTGGAGTGTTTCACAGTGCAGTGACTCTGGTTAGCGCTAGGGCAGAAGAATGAGTAGGAGTTTGCTAGAGGCATGGCAGGGAGTGGGACGGGGGAGGAGGCATTCCAGGGAAAGCCAGCTTTGCAGCAGAGGTGTGGGGGCGGGGAAAGAACATGGTGTGTTCCCCAAGCCATGGCGTGGTTGCGTGGGTGTGCCGGGTGAGGACCCTCTCTGGAGGTGGGGGCTGGAGGAGTAGGTGGAAACCAGATGAGAAGGGCCTCAGATGCCCTCGTGGCGAGTTTATGCTTTCCCCAATTGGTGCTCGGAGACTCCTCAAATGTTTACAACTGGGCAATGAAAGGATCAGATTTATATTGTCATAAGCTCTACGGAGGAGGGAGGCACTGGAGGCAGCAAGTTAGTTAAGTGTTGCGGGGAAGGGTGTAATTAAAAGGCAAAATGAATGGTATGGCTTATGGGACACAGTGAGGAGGCAGGACATCCCATCCATCCATCCATCCATCCATCCATCCAATTCATGTTTAGTGGGGTCCAGCTATGCACCCAGCACAGGAGAGATGCTGGGGTTGCACTGGGGACCAAAGCCATCGCTCTCTATGAGGCAGATGATAAGTGAACCCAACTTGGGAGGGGGGCAAGGCAGTGTCACAAACATGGCTGTTTATGGCCCAGGCAGGTAACTGAAGGGAATGGAGAGGCTGGGCGGGGCCTGCAGAGAATTCCTGCTCCAGGACAGGGCTCACCTCCAGCCTGTGAGGCTGTGGGAGAATGCGGGCTTTGTAGTGGCAGGTCTGCTGATTCTTTAAGAGGCTGGACATTTTTATGTGAAACTTCCTGATTTTTAAATGTTGGCAACTGATCAGAGTGTGGTGACTGAGAATAAGTGTGAGTGTGAGTGTGTGTGTGTGTGTGTGTGTTTTCTACTAAGGATGGGTTGTAAGAAAAGCTCTGAGGACATGATATTTATAAGGTGTTGGTGGTGTGGAGAGAGAAGGGCATGCGCCAAAGATCCAGGCGGGGAAAAACTTGGTTTGGGGAATTAAAGGAAAGCCTCTGCCTGGAACTTCAAGAACAGTTCCAAAAGAGACCCATTGTGAGAGGTGGACACGGTTAGGACAGGTAGGGTCTTTGCAGGTCCTGGTGTAGGGTTTGGGTTTTATTCTGAGTTCACAGAAAGGCTATCACTGAATAATCAGAGGCAACTTTCAGGTCTATGGGATCATTCAGATTCTGGATTCTAGATGTAGAAGAGGGACGAAGGAAGAACAGTTCTAGGGACAAAAATGGTGAAAGCAGAGCAGTTCTCAAAGTACATCAGCATCTTTGTGTAAAAAGGATGTGCAAGCTGAAGGACTACGAGGAAGGCAGCACCGTGGGATGGATTCTGAGGTCCTGGAAAACCTTGGGAAGTGACATTTGAAAAGGAGGTTGGTGCCATGGTATGGAAATCACTGAACCAAGGGCCTTGGTCTCTTCTGGATCTCATCTTGTGGGCCAGAGTGCCCCCAATGTGCCTAATCATCTTGGGTGCTTATTAAAAATGCAGAATCCAAGGCTCCCCTTCTGCAAGCCCATCTCTGGAGGTCTGGAACCCGGCCAGGAACCTATCATTTTAACCATTGTCTGTGGGATTCTCATGTCGAGTAAGTTTGGGAAGTGCTGATGTAGGCGCTGGGGATCATGGGGTGTCTCTGACCTGGGAGTCAGAAGCTGGTGTTTTAAGGCTGACTTGAGGGAAGACAGATGGCAGGCAGACCAGTGAGGAGGCCCTTGCATTTGTCAGGACACAAGAC